ACTTGATTTTAAGAGTGGTTTTATATTTGTATGTTCTTTTCGTTTTTATTCGGGAGTAGAACGTTTTCAGCGTCTTCCGCCAGCAATATAAAGCCGTTGATCTCCATGCATTTAAATTTTGAAAAACATATATGTCGAAAGAGCTGGAGATGAACTATTCGTTTGGACAGCTGACAGCAATCTTCCATACTCTCTTTATTTTTTGTAGGAATATCGAGGCTGAAGTTTGCGAAATTTTAAGAAGATTTTAAGAATCAACCCGAGGCTGAGATTTTGAAAAGAATACAATTATGGATGTTGAAAATTTGCGTACAATGAAATTTTATCTTTTCAACTAAACCGTATAAAATTCTTCCTTTCTCTAAAAAGCGCGCAGAACTAGCCAAGAGACAACAAAAACAGCGCTAGCCGTATGTTCGATGCTAAANTTCTTCATAAACTGCGTTAAGGGTCGCAAATTCTCGGAAGTTATCCGCAAAAAACATAACTTGAAAGTTTATGCAAATTAAGTGCAATGCAATTTACGCTCTGTCCTAGGACTGTTGTTTTCGCGAAGGATCATACCTATTCGCCCTTCAAACGAGATGAGACTCTTGAAAAGGGTTTAAAATGGCGACACGGCAAAGATGTTCAGCTGCACAATTCACTCGGATCGCCACGACCAGTAAACGAACCTCATACAATTTCTGCTAGCATGTACAATGTAATCGCCATAAGTTGTAAAAAGACCTGGAAAATTCTTTGCAAACAAGTTCTTCATAAATGCGTAGACAGCTGTGCTTGATTCTTGAACCAAAGTGGTTTAAACTTACAACTTGCGATTGGATTAGGAGGATACTCAACGAAACAACTCGAATACTAAATATCTAAGCGGAACTCTTGTGCTAAAATATCCTGATTCGTTAATTTGTTTTTATTGTGTCCAATACGCGTTTTCGTAAAGTACGATTTGATACTGCGGTACGAAGCCCGAGTAAACGCTCTTAGAGCGTCTAGTTCGGGGGTAGAACGTTTTCAGTGTCTTCCGCCAGGAATATATAGCCGTTGATCTCCGTGCATTTAAATTTTGAAAAACATATACGTCGGAAGAGCTGGAGATGAACTACTCGTTTGGACAGCTGACAGCAATCTTCCATAGTCTCTTTATTTTTTGTAAGAATATCGAGGCTGAAGTTTGCGAAATTTTAAGATTTTAAGAATCAACCCGAGGCTGAGATTTTGAAAACAACACAATTATGTGTGTTGAAAATTTGCGTACAATGAAATTTTATCTTCTTAACTAAACCGTATAAAATTCTTCCTTTCTCTAAAAAGCGCGCAGAACTAGCCAAGAGACAACAAAAACAGCGCTAGCCGTATGTTCGATGCTAAATTCATTTCTGCAAGAGATTATACGCTATAATCTAAGAACATTCACAAGAAAATTTTCAGTCTAAAATAGGTAGACAAATAAGAATATTCAGCCTGGACCAAAAGAAAGGTAGCTGCTGATGCTGTGTCAGGCATTATAGTTCAAGTGTCGTCAACGTATCTCTTGTAAAATGAATGCATTTTGCCTTCATGAACCAGAGTTTTTTTAATGGACCCCATGAGGACATTAGCGAGCAGTGGTCCGAGTGGAGAGCCCATGGCGACGCCATGGATCTGTTCATAAAGTTGTCCATTGAACTTGAACGGTTAGTCTTTGGTGGATGCTTTGAGAAGATCTGCAAGTTCCATTCTGCTCAGGTTCAAGTGGTGTGTTTCATTGACCCAGTTATTCACAAACGCTATATCGGCGAGTATCTGTATTGCTTCCTCTAAGGGCACGTCGGTAAATAGCGTGAAGAAACTTCACGGTTGTTGTACAAGNCTACAATTTCTGCTAGCATGTACAATGTAATCGCCATAAGTTGTAAAAAGACCTGGAAAATTCTTTGCAAACAAGTTTTCCGTACATGCGTAGACAGCTGCGCTTCATTCTTGAACCAGAATGGTTTAAACTCACAAAATTGCGATTGGATTAGGAGGATACCCAACCAAGCAACTTGAATAGTAAATATCTATGCGGAACTCTTGTGCTAAAATATCCTGATTCTTTAATTTGTTTTTATTGTGTCTAATACGCGTTTCCGTAAAGCACGTTTTTATATTGCGGTGCGAAGCCCGAGTAAACGCTCTTAGAGCGTCTAGTTTATTTAAAAAATTCAACTTTTCTCTGTCTCAAAAAT